GGGAGCCGGAGCCGGAGCCGGGGCCAGGCCGCATAGACTCCGCCAGCCTCCCCGGCACCAGCCCGACCTGCTCCCGCGGGCGCTGCCTGCTCGCCCCCTCCTGGGCCCGGGGCCTTTGGGCCGGGTCGGGAGGTCTCCCAGGACGAGCGCCCAAAGCTCCTGTGGGTGGCGGCCGCCTGCCTGCTCCCCACCGGGTTGTTCTTTGCCGCTAGCTAAAAGAAAAGAAAAGCAAAAAAAGCAAAGCTGCTGGCAGCCGCGTACTGTCAATATTGGATGTGTTCAGCGGCGGTGGGAACCTGGAAGTGACCCTACCCAGGCCTGGCAGTACACCGGCCTCGCTCGTCCCGGGGGCAGCTTTCCCCGCGGGGGATCAGCCGGGCGGCAGCGACCCCGGGGGAAGTGATCCCTCGGTAACAACCAGGGCGGCGTCTCGCGCCGGCCCGCGGGCTCCGGGGGGCTCAGCGCTGCCTGCTCCGGGCGCAGGTTGACCCTTGTCAGATGAAGGAGGCGGCCACAGTCGGGGGGACGAAACGTGGTCACCTCCCGCGGCCCTCCGGGAGCCGGGTTTGGAGAGCCACGGTGGCAGTGGCTGCAATGACGACGATGAGAACAGCAATAACAGTAGCATTGATGCGAATAACAGTGTCATCACAACAGCAATCCTAATAATACGACTCATACTAGCAGCACGTATAATGACGATGACGGAACAGTGGTGGTAATAACAGCAATGACAATACTAGTAACATCCATAATAATACTAGTGACGATGACGATGCTGCCCGGTGCAGAGCACGGTGCTTTTCAGCACCCGGTGCCGTCTCCTTGCGGGGAGGGCCCTGCCCGGCGCACTGAGCGCTGCAGCGGTGCCGCGGCCGCAGGGCAGAGACACCCGCGTGTGCCGGCCGGCCGAGCGGGCAGCGGCGCGCGGGAGAGCGGACGAAGGCGGCGCGGGGCTCCGAGAGGAGCCGGCGGCGGGAGGCAGGAAGGGAAAATAAAAGAAGCGGGTGAACGAGGCAGGGCTGCGGCCGGGCTTTGCTCCCGGCAGATCGAGAGCGACCGCGGGGCCCAGGCCGCGTCTTTTACAGACGAGCGTCGCTGGGTGTCAGG